AATTAGCCACATCGTGTTTAATTAAACTTTTTAAAACAACCGTTCGTGGATGATTTATATTTAATAAATAATTATTATAATACTTCTAATATAATTTAATAACAAAAAATAATTAAAACAATTGTTTGATTAAATAATTTATTAAAGGCAAAAAAGGTTTTTAAAAATAAGGTAGATAAAAAAATTCCTGTAAAATTGTCAGAAAATTCATATAAAATCACGTATTTTTATTTTACAAAACATTTAAAAAGTTCATAAGTCATTATGTTTATTGTTAGTATAAATTTCAAAGGTTATTTTTATTTTTTAACTTTTAACATTGACTTTACATTTATAATTTTAAATTAATATAATAACCTGAATATGGATTACAAATAAACATTGTAAATATTCATCCGAGTCCCAGAGGCGCTGTTATAAGTTAACGTTTATTAATTACTTAAACTAACGACAGGTGCGGTCGACTGCAGTCACAATTGCCACATGGAGGTACCGGCAACACGTAACGCTTAGTTCAATTGATTTCTCGTTATAACTGGAGTGTGTACTAAATTGTAATATGTCTATATACATAATACCTATGTATATATTATACATTATCTGTGTACATTTACGAAGATACAATAATTTGCAATCGGTGTCAATATGACAAACGTCATGTTTGTATAATATATCATAGATAACAACTAAAAAATAATTTTTTAATATAATGTGGACTAAATGCTAAAGTTTCTAATAAATTGATTGAGTTTTGATCTTAAATCGTTGAATATTTCTCTAGGTTGGTGCACCAATTTAAAATACAGTTTGTTATTTTTATGTCAAACTTGTGATTTTTTATTTGTTTTATTTTTAACATACATGATAATAAATAATATTAACAGATCAATAAATAAATTTTATATTTTGACTGACAATATTCTGACATTGACATTATTCACAATTCATGAGTTTGTTTTTAAAGAATTTAAATTTGACAGGCTGCAATGTTTTAGTAAAAACATCAGCTTTGTTATCATCAGTCTGACAGTAGAAAATTTTAAACCCGCCTTTCTTGTACTAATCTTTGATCAGATCAGATCGATGTAGATACATTTTCGTGTCAGCTGATTTGCTTTGACCATTTTAATACAACTCTGACTGTCCACATGCAGATTGAGTTCAATTTTTCTTGACAACATTTCTTTCAAAATAGATTTAATATATTTCATCTCCTTACAACATTGGACAGCAGCGATGTATTCTGCTTCTCCTGTAGATTGTGCAACCAGAGACTGCTTACGGGAACACCACACTATCGGCCCATTTGCATAAAACATAACATATCCAGTTGTGCTCTCATTGTTTTCTCCACAATCCACACAACAAGGTCTGTTCGATCTCCTAATAAAAATACTAAAAATCACTACAACACTGCACATCATACGATGGCGGCCATTTTTGTTGTTTACAACTCTTGTGCTTTGGGTTTGTACAGATTAATAATCGTTTTAAACGTTGTGTTTCTTACAGAGAGACTTGCATTGCAAGTCTTGCAAGCCTTAAAAGATACCTCAAAGTGGTAAGAACAATCATTTTACTCCTCTTTTGTAAAAAATAAACCTTATTCTATTAGGGCTGTCAAATGTCAATTTGAAGGTTAATTTAAGGTTATTTTATAACCCACAAATTAACCTTCAAATTGACATTTGATAGAATAAGGTTTATTTTTTACAAAAGAGGAGTAAAATGATTGTTCTTACCACTTTGAGGTCTCTTTTATGGCTTGCAAGTCTCTCTGTAAGAAACACAACGTTTAAAACGATTATTAATCTGTACAAACCCAAAGCACAAGAATTGTAAACAACAAAAATGGCCACCATCGTATGATGTACAGTGTTCAGTGATTTTTAGTATTTTTACTACCAGATCGAACAGACCTTGTTGTGTGGATTGTGGTTTTCTCTATCTCCTCCAAGATCAGAATCACAGTACACATCAAGTGTATAAACATTTGTATTACCATTAGAATAATGAATTCCACCAGCATATATGACCCTTTAATAAACCTCATTATTCTCTTCACATTTATCACATATTGTTTTTATAGGGTTTCTTGTATACCTGCTAGCATAATTCACAGAAAAACTAATATCCTAGACCAAACGAATAGATAAATATCCAATGTCGGATGTCGGGACAGTATTATAATATTTAGCCAAGCTAAGAGAGGGCGCGGATTTTATAATTTTTTGACGTTTTGACGTTTTTGACCTTTTTGACGTTTAATTATATCCGTAGTTATCGAATTTTGTTTATTTGTGTGTTTTTATTGTGTATTGTTTCTAAGGTTTGTATAATAATAATAATAATTTATAAATGACACTTTGACCGAATCATAACTTTCAGATGGTAGGCATGTATTGTTTAATAAAATTTATGGATTTAACAGTATTCTTCAATTTCAAAATAATGATCAATGAGACAGTTAGTGTGGATTCATAATGGACATAACCATAAAAAATACATAATGAAATCATAAATCATAACCATAAAATTTACATAAAACCCAAATTGCCTTCACAATGACCATAAAAATTGATATTTTGAGCATGTCAAACTAATGTCATATTTTAGAACATTGGACACTAAATGGTTTTTTACTTATACTATAGTGATAGCCTCATTATTTGAGGAATTGCTACAACTAGTGTCTCCTAAATTGATTAAACATAGCATTCGAGTCCAAGTCAACGGTTGGTCATTACATTGAGGTTGTTTACCTACTTTTATAACAAAAAACTAAAATAATAATTTGGCTTTATCTTAGGTATTTGTCTACCGGTAACTCAACCTTTTCCATAGCAAATGGTTAGGCACCGCAAGAGTTGCCAATATAAAAACATAACAAACCAAAAGTCAGCGAATTTTCCCAAAAAATTTCATAAATATTTCATAAAGTTAAACTATTTGAACTTTATGTGATTTTTACAGTACTCCCATAATTTTTACACAAGAGTCACATAAAAGCATAACCACAGAAGTACCTTAAATACATGGTAGAAAACAAAGTTATTGTTTTTGTTACTAATTACATTTAAAATATAGCCATGGCTATATTTTAAATGTAATTAGTAACAAAAACAATAACTTGTGCACAAGTTAGATTTTAAATATAGCGCCATTGAAGTAACCAATGAAATAAGTTGATTTTCCACCAAATAAAAGCTATGTTGGCAACAGTTGTCTGTAAACACGTAATTTAGTTTTTAACCAAGTTCAGAGAGGGAACTTCATTTGACTCCACACTATATACTCTTTAAGAGTGATCTATTGGTTTGGTTTAGGACTAATATCTGGTCGAGTCTTGATAGAAAGGTAAAGAAGTCTCCACCACCACTGCAATGAAAGCACTTGACATTTTTTCTTCCAGCCTGGTAGTTTTGTCTTTCTTTGCTATTGTTATTGTTATTTGCATAAACCTTGTAAGCCACCTTTGGCTCTTTACTTCTACTTTTAATTGTTTCTTCTTCAACAATAAGTCTTGTACTCTTCAGGAAGCGCCAAAATTATTCTTGTCATTGTCATCGTGTTGTCAATTGGTGTATTTAGGGAATTTAAACGAAAAAACAGGTTTTGTATTACAGCTATATTGGACATGACATCCAAAGACTTGTTGAATTTAAAACTGAAGAATTCAGATAGTAATTGACTTTTTTGCTGCTCTGTATCTTTCTTATATACTTGAGTCAACGTTTTAAACATTTCAGCTGCATCTTGGCACGACAAACGAGACTACGACGCACAGTGGTCAGTTTGGGCAATCTGGGGCGGAAAAAATATTTTAGTAATGTTTGTAAGTTCATGCTACACTATCACGAAATAATAATAATTATTATATGGTATAGAAATACCAAATATGGTATAGAAATACCAAATAGATACCTCCAAAGGCATTCTTTTATTATACAGGGTGTCACACTAAATTCATATTTTACACCTAAATAAATTAAAAAGCAAAAGCTTTACACTAGAAATATTAAATACGGGTTTTACAGATAAATTTAGTAGAAAATCTAAGAAATTATGTAATTTTTATAAAATGTCAAGAATAATTATTACAATTTTTAATATAAAATCTAGTTTGAATTTTTTAACAGGAAAAACTGCATATTTTTTCTCCTTTACATTATCACTTTTTTACTTAATTTACAATATTATATACTATAATAATAATAAAATACTATTATATTAATAATAATTTATTTAATATTATCACTAGACTCCTGATCTGAGAATATATTGATATTGGTGTTTTGAGCATTTTAATTACATCTTCTGGTAAATTGTTCCGCTTTCTTTTACTTGGGTTTCTTAAACTTGTAATAAATGGATCAGATGAGATCAGGAGCATGTGGATCATGTCTTTCATGGTTTGCTCTCTGGTAAATTTTCTTGAATGATATTCTCTGATGTTCTTTGAATTTTTATTGCTCGCCTCTTGGGCCTCTTCCAACATTTGCCCAATAGGGAGTACTGATGTGTTCACCAGGATTCCTCTTAGAATTAGTATCTTGTTGACACATTGTGGCATATAATACCACGGATATAGTGAAGTTTAGCGGTATCCAGACAGTACTACTGATATCTGTTGACGGTGATCTCGTGTCCGCAGGCTATCGTTGTTAAGACTACGTGAAATATTTTTATTAGATCCATATCAATTTCTGTTATTGGGGCAGAAATTATGGGATTTTGTAAGAATCGTCTCGCCGTATTTCCATAGTTTGTCGTTCCGAATCCAGGTTTTGCAATATCGACCAACAGACCCATTTCACTGCGAAATCTCTCTTAGATCAGCTTCCTTATCTACGTTTCTAATAGACCATTTCTTAATATTCATTTTATAGGAAATGTGAAGAAGGCATTTAAAACACTTAATCCATGCGTGCAAGCTGGATATATCCAGTTGAAGTTCTCCACTGATATTTGACGCATTTTAACTTCTTCGGTGTTGTTCATCATGCTGGGTGTTGTTCATCATGCAGCCAACTACAAATTTTGCCATCAATCATCATAGATATAAAAAAGATTGTACAATTGTACAAATTTCCTCCAATTTCAACAGGGCTTGGTCGAAGTAAAGAGGTTTGATTTTTTATCTTTAGAATTTTATTTTTGATAAATTCCTCTTTTTCTAGCTTGAAAACAATTTCTATAGGTCTACAGTAATTCGTCGGTACCAAAGGTACCATTGAAATGAAAAATAAAAATGAATCATCTCTGTCTTCATTTGTAAAAGATTGTTTGTAGCGACTTTGCCCAGCTCCTCCATCACATTCCCACTTGAACAATTCCTTAATAGAAGAAATTTTATGGTTCCGATGAATATGGTCCATGACTTCAGCCTGAGCACTGATTAATCTACATAGCAATGGTGTGGTAGCTCTTGTAATGGCACTTCTGTAGGAGAGCATCTTTTTTTAGCTTCCAGTAACTTATTATAATTTGGATATATATATGTCCCCGTTAAATTCTTTACTGTTTTGTTTAATACGGTTGTATTGCGCCTTCGTCATTTTGGTGTCAATAAAGATTGCGAGCGCCTAATCTGGAGTCATTTTCTTCGGCAATTTAGGATCCATTTAAAAACTTCTTTAAGGGCGTGTAGCCCTTTCAGGCGAGCATGTAGATACTTGTTTTACTATATATGCTCGATCTCTTTGACCGCTTGCATGCATACTTAGTCTGGTGGCAAACGATAGCTCTTCCTTACTAGTAGATGCCAGTTCGACTTCAAAATTTTTCGCTGGTCTGCCTGGAGATTTTTTTAGGCTCTAATCCACGCTTCGTTAGTGGCTAAGAATAGTTTTTCGTTAAACTTTATCCATTTTTGTCTCAAAATAGCACACAAATTTTTGATAGCCTTTTTTATTTTACTTTGGACAACATATTCAAAGCCGTTTATAGAACTTACAAAATTAACCACAGCCCGAACTTTTCTACCCGGAACTTGCTCTTCTTTCCATATGTCGAATATGACATGCCTAGTAGGGTGAGCCAAAAAAACTAACCTATCGGATTTATGGGTTAAAATGAACCTACATACCGAGCAAAAAATTTCCCTGCAAGGCAAAATTTTTTGCTCAATTTTAAAAGGTGTCGGTGAGCATTCTAAGTTTTCCATTGAAATAACACGTAAAAAAATCTTTTTTCATTAAAAAGACTATAACTTTTGAACCGTTTGAGATAAATTTTTTTACGTCGCGGATTCTTGTAGAGCATAAAATTTCCCAAAGAATCTATACCAGGATTATTTTTTTTAATTCAAAAATTCGTATGTTTGAAAGCTTTGAAAAGTGTAAAACTACAGTTTTAGTGATTTTTTACACTTTTCAAAGCTTTCAAACATACGAATTTTTGAATTAAAAAAAATAATCCTGGTATAGATTCTTTGGGAAATTTTATGCTCTACAAGAATCCGCGACGTAAAAAAATTTATCTCAAACGGTTCAAAAGTTATAGTCTTTTTAATGAAAAAAGATTTTTTTACGTGTTATTTCAATGGAAAACTTAGAATGCTCACCGACACCTTTTAAAATTGAGTAAAAAATTTTGCCTTGCAGGGAAATTTTTTGCTCGGTATGTAGGTTCATTTTAACCTATAAATCCGATAGGTTAGTTTTTTTGGCTCACCCTAATGCCTAGTGATATCGGCTTCTAACTCTGGACCCATTTCACACCAATAAAATAATAATCAATGAAGATATTTGATAAAGCACAAGATAAAACTGAATGTATTTTTTCATAAATTTGGTATTTAAAAAAAAGTTAGTATCTTATACCTTTATGAAGGATGGAAGGATTTTTGTAATCGTCCAGGTAATGCAATAACTTTATTTGTAATTAGGTAATTAAAAATAAGGAATAAGGGGAGTGAAAAATATAATATTTATTATAAGGTAGCCGATTTTTACATAATGTTTGTGTGATCCATTGAAAAATATAATATTTATTATTAGGTAGCAGATTTTTCTGAAAAATAGTTAAATGAAAGATTTTAATATTTTTATGAAAACATACTTTATACCTTTTATTTAAAAGTTAGTTTTTTTTGGAAAAAATATTATTATTACTAATAATAAATAGGCTCTTACCCCTCTTGTATGGTGTAGCTCAAAACCTTTCAGTCTGCAACATACATAGAAAAAATATTATATTTACTACATGTATAGATTACATATCGAGTGGCGAAAGGCAGCGGTTTCTAAAAAGTGTTAAGTGTAGAAAAACTTAGAAATCACCACCTTTTGTCACCAGATATGAACACTACTTTAAACGACAAGCGCAACGGAAATTCGACTTTCGCTGAAGTAAAAATCGTTAATATTTTCGCGTTTTTATACAAGCTTAATCGGAGCATAGTTAAGTCATTTGCTTTCCCCAGAAATGCGCCACTTTTCCTTCGCTCAAAAGGCAGCAAAAGTCAAATTTTTGCTGCGCTTGTAATAAAAACATACAATCAACGTGGGCTGCTGTGAATGTTAATTTTAAGAATGCGATATTTTTAAAAAATGTGCATCACAAGAATCATATTTCTATGATGTAAATATATGGTTACCTATCTAGAATATTTTCTGAAAAAAGAACAATATTCAGCTATTTTTCTTTACTTATTAAAACGAAACCAAAATATAAACTCATCTGCTTATGTTCGTCGAAATTAATTAGAAGTTGTAATGGTAATGGCTGTAAAAGCTCAAACAGAAAACAGGTTGATAATGCCTTGTATAACAAAACCAATTAAAAATGAGTGAAATAAATTTTTGTTATTAACAAATATCTTTAAAAAGCATAGTGGAGTTTGGATGATCCTGGTTTCTGCGGAACGATATTAAAATAGAGTGAGAGACTGATGATGTCTACACATAAGAGAACGAAATGAAATTGAACCAGTAATGATCCGTAGGAATGAGTTGCATACTTTGTATGTCGAGGATAGTTGCGAGGCAGCTCCATTTCAACGCGAATGCTAATGTAATGTCATGCGGGGGACCGCGCAAACACTAAATTCTTATCTGAAATGCGTTCTGCCAGGGCCCATTATCATCCGTTCCAGAAACTTTGCCTTTAGCCTGACGAAACGCAATTAGAATAAACACGTTAGGACGATTACCTGCAATTAAACTTAATTTAACTTTATTTATTTCCATAATTCAATTTATATTGTGGGGATTAGAATGATCATTATAATTTGTTTTATAAATAGGCATAAAATTATGAAAACTATAATTTAGGGGGTGTTTAGTTTAACCCCCGCAAAAATGAAATATATTAAAATATGACACTAAATTTATTAATTAAATATACAAAATAATATAATGTACAGTTTATTTTATGACATTTAAATGGGGGTACTTTTTTGGAATCGGATAACCTTTATAGGTCGCCTATAATTATAATTAAACGTATATTAGAAAAACACAAACACAAAAATTAAAAACTATGACATAAGGAATGCTTTTGATGGCTGATGAAACTGTTTTTAGTAATTTGCGACCAGGCGAAGAATATACTGCAACTAGGGTTTCTGTCCCGAGAATTTCCGAAACAAGAATTCTCGGTATTCCATCTATTTTAAAGGTCTCGACTCTTGAAAAATTTAAATTTAGACTCGGGAATTATTTCGAATCTGAAACCAGGACAAGGGCATGCCAAAGATAATACACCCCATAGATTGGAAACTCTCCCACCACTGCCCTCTAGAGCTACAATACTTGACTATATCTATTTGTAAATTGCAGACATCTGTACAAACGCTATTTGCAAATGTCAATGTCAATCATAATTATTGATGTCAAGCATAATTTTTGAATTATGAAATATATTTTTGCGCCTTAAAAGTGACAAAACGTGTTAATGGTAGCGAAATGTATTGTTGTTGGGTGCGGAAATGTCACCAATTTGTAAGTATTGACTATCCTGCCGTCCTAAGCCAAAAAGACTCATCTCGTTATTATTAAATTATTATCTTAGCAAAAAGACGCATTTTAACTATACATACATTTTTAAGTACTATATCCAAAGATAATATCTTTGACTTTATCTCCTAAAAAATTCTAATTAAATTGAAAGTATCTTATGAAAAAAATAATAATACGCTATAATTTATAAAGTAAAAATGTGGAGTTGCGTCATTTTGGCTAAGCACGACAGTATTGCTCTAGCGTAAAAATACTGTTTGTTAATTATGAATTATTTAGGATTGCTTGTTTAATGGTAATTTAGTCCAGGCCAAGCCCAGGCTAATTATTGTTGTTTCAAAAGCAAGAGTTGGCAAGATGGATTTTTCACGGTTGGTTAGAACTTGCCAAAAGTCCACACTCAAAAGCCTTGTACAAATTCCTATATGTATATGTATAAGTAGCCTGGACTAAATTACCAAATTTTGCAATATTATTATTGAAGAATTAAGACTAATATTTTTTAGGTTTGCACTCCCCAAACAAAAACTTATTCATGTATTCCGATTATGTATTTAATATGTACATAGAAATGTGTGTATTTTATTTTATATTATATTATTACTGCAATAAATAAATCTTATATTAATACTTGTTTTATTTAAAATACAGCAGTAAACACAATAATAAAGGCACCCTACTAAGCATCAACATTCAAAAATGGCGCCAATATATGTTACAGAAATCGACTTCAATTTTTGGCATTGCTAAGGGTATTGTAGACCTAGATGGCGTTAATTTACTTTAGCCTTTTGCCGCTAGCGCTAGTGCAGTTTCCAATCTATGGGGTGTATTATCTTTGGGGCATGCTACTAATACCATGCGCATTAGATAGTCAGCTCAGCTGGCTGCTCTATCATTTTTGTGGGTAATAAGGGGATAAGTCAAAAAAGCAATTTTTTATTAAAGCCTTAAACCTATTCGCATTAATTTAAAAAATATATATGGTAACCGGGTATACGCTTTTGCTTGCACATGTCATAAATATATTCTCTAAATTAATGCGATTACGTTTGAGGCTCTACTAAAAAAATGCTTTTAAAAATTGATATTATATGTGGATTACAGTGTTATATGGTAACCAGGTATACGCTTTTGCTTGCACATGTCATACATATATTCTCTAAATTAATGCGATTACGTTTGAGGCTCTACTAAAAAAATGCTTTTAAAAATTGATATTATATGTGGATTACAGTGTTTTAAGCAGGGCCGAATACAAAATTTTACAAAAAAAAAACTATTTCAAACTTAGACCATAAAACACTGGACGCGTAAACAAACACAAAACAAGAAAATGGTTTGTCAATAATAATAATAATAATAATAATAATAATAATAATAATAATAATAATAATAATAATAATAATAATAATAATAAAAATAAAATAAAGATACGGTTTGATTTTATTTTATTTTTTAAGGTTTTCTTTAAATTTTGTTTTTGAAAATTC